CTCAGGGCAAGTTATTTCTTCCAGTGACTCACTTGCTCTAGCTGCCCAGGATAGCTCGTCACCTTTATCATCCTCTTCATCGCGATGTCTTATTTATCATGTGGTTAGTGGTTAAGTGCTTCAGCTCTGAAGACAGACTCTGGGAGTTCCTGTCTGGTTTCTTCCCTTTTCCAGCAGCCTCACCCTGGGCAAGTGACCTCACTTCTCTAAAAGCCTCAGTTTTCTCATCTCTGTGACTGGAATAATTAAATTATGTTGTGTTAGGACTGATGAAGATGGCCATAGATTGCTTGGCATGGTGTCCGACACATAGCGGCACTTTTGCCATCATCATTTGTATTAAATAATTATCTGCATGGAAGTTATTCCTTAATGACTCACAGATGGGCCCTGATAAGGGAGCAAACACATCAAATTTCTGTTCTCTAGAAGCATATACTAGGAGAAACATAATCATTGGCAAGGTACCTAACTAATCTTCATGTTCAGCATTCAGCAGCAACTAGTCTACTTACATTGAGAACACAAAGCCAAAGAGCTAAGATGCTCCAGTGTGGCTGGATTCTGGGGTACTTAAGCTAAGCAGGAGAGGCAGACTTAGCTTAGGCTGGGTTGTCGAGAGGATGCATTCTCTGCTTTGTTCTTCCTTAAGAGCATTATTAAAGTGACCCTTATTCTGTTGAGTTGATCCTGGAGATTCAGGTTCTATCCTGGCACTAGAGCTCTTGAGAGAAAAGAAACATATATCTGAAAACATATTCATCTGAGATAACTGTTAATAAGACAAAACTACAGAGACCTTCTGTTAAGGGACATTGCTTTGTACTTCCAGCTTCAGTCCCATGCTAGCAGGCAACTGTGAGATCTATAGAGGAAAGATTGCCCAGGGCAGGCAAACCATTTCTAACAGGTGAATTGGATGACCTTTGTCTCTACCAGCATAGAATCATAATGCCACCCACTGAAGTGGCTTAGTAGTTATGTTCATTTGCTACTACCTGGGTAGGTGTTTTATTCAGCTTTTTTTTTGCTGCTGTGACTAAAAGACCTGACAAGAACAATTAGAAGAGAAAAAGATCATTTGAGGGCGCATAGTTTCGGAGATCTTAGTCCACAGACAGCCAGCTCCATTCCTTGGGGCTTGAGGTGAGGAAGAACATCATGGCGGAAGATTTGTGGCAGGGAGAAGCAGCTCACATGATGATCAGAAAGCAGAAAGAGAGAGAGACTCCACTTGCCAGATACAAAACATATACTCTAAAGGCATGCCTCCAATGACCCACCTCCTCCAGCCACACCCTACCTCTTAGTTAATCCCCATCAGGAGATTAATCCACTGATTGGGTTAAGGCTCGCATAATTTGATCCTTTTTCCTCTAATCCTTCTTGCATCGTCTCACACAGGAGATTTTGGGGGACACCTTACATCCAAACCATAACAGTAGCAAAGTGGATCGGAACAATCACTGTAGAGACAAGCTAGAATAGTATATCACTCATCAGCTCTGTGTCATTGGACAAACTATGGAAGCTTTCTGGCCTCAGGTTCCATATCTGTAAAATAGGATCAACACTAGACCTAATCTATATGGTGTTGTAAGGATTAGACGTTGTCATGTGTGGCTCTTGGTAAGTGCTCAGTAAACAAGTCCATTCCTGCTTGGTGCTCTTACCTTGCCACCACTTGGCCTCTGAGATGGAGGCTGCTCCCCACCCTGGGCCTTCCTGTTTGGGCCATGAAGTCACATAGTCCTGGCAAGTATGGTTTGTTAGCCTCGTTTGAAAACTCGTTCTCTTTGGCTCATTTATCCAAACCAGACAGAGATTAATAACATAGCCTCAGAGAATTGGGCAGCACATGTTTCTGGCGCCTTCGGCTCATTGATCATGCCTCCCCAATTCAGGGAATGCTTGGGTGTTCCAGGCAGGGTCTCCTGAGACCCAGGAAACATTGAAGGAAAGTAATTTGGCATGAACTCACCTCCTAATTAAGGAGGGCTAAAAGCCCTGCAGTTTACTATTCCTTGTGGATTTTGCTGTTTATAAATAGAAGCAAATTTCTCTGGCATAAAATGTTTGAATTTAATGGAAGAAATACAGTGATCAAGGATGACTCTAAAAACATCCTTGCCAAATTATGGTCTTTTCCCTTACATTTCCCTTATCCAACTTTCCTAGGTATTTAATGGCAATCATCATAGGTCACTGCTCTTAGCTATGACCTAGCTACCTATTTCACTCACAGGTCAAAAGGCCCTGTAAGGATCTGCTTGCTGCCCCTTTGACTTGTCCTTCTCTGCCTTGCACTGATCCCCAATAATATTGGCCTTTCTCCCTCTAGAAGACCATGCCTTTCCCATTTCAGAAACCTTCTGGGCTCTGGTCCCTAAGTGTTCCCAGAGAGATCTCTTCTCATCATTTAGGTCTCATGCAAATATTACTCCTTTAGAGAAGCTTTTCCCTGTATCAGGCCCATAGCACCTTCTTTATCTTTATTGTACTTACAGTTATTTGAAGAAATCATTTTTGTGCATTTGTTTATTTCTGTTTTTTTTTTTTCACTAATGGAAATGTTCCCTGAAGAGCAGAGACCATAGCTGTCTTGTTCTTCTGTATTCTCAGCATATAAATTGCCTGTCCATTATAGGCACTCAATAAATAATTTGTTCAATGTATGCACATAAACAAATGAATTGCAAGTAACTTTAGGAGTTACCATTCAAGAGGTATCCAAGCTTTTCAAAGTCACTATCCCCTCGTTTGATACCCCCGTGAGTAAAACCGAGAGCAGCAAAGGGAGGGGACATTTGGTTGCTGGCGTCTTAGCTTCTCTCCCAGCCCCTGTGGCAGTCCCTGTGCAGGTGCTCTGGAACACCACTTGAAAACCATAGTCTAGTCCAAGTTCTTCAAATTTGCAGATGATGGGGCTGGGATTGTGCTCAGCGGTAGAGCGCTTGCCTAGCACAGGCGGGACCTGGGTTCGATCCTCAGCACCACATAAAAATAAAGGCATTGTGTTGTGTCCATCTACACCTAAAAAATAAATATTAAAAAAAAATTTGCAGATGATGGAGATGCTGCTGAGGGGAATGGGCAATTGTGTGCCCTCTGTTACAGAGTGTTATTAATGTAACCTCCCTGTCAGCTTCAACCTGAATTTTGTAGTGATTTTTGTTCTTTCCCCAAATTCTGTGATGGCTAAGCAGGTCTTATCCCACTGCATAGCCAGAAGCACTTGAATGTGTTTTGTGCTGTTTTGGTATATTTCTATTCCACAGTCTTATTTGATGTTTACGGCATCTCTGGGATAGATAGGCAGAACATCTAGCATTTCCTCATTCTGTAGGTGGAGAAATTGAAGTTCAGCCAAATGAAGTAACTAGTGGTAAAATCCAGGCCAAATCGAAGTCTTTTGACTCCTCATCTTTAGAACTTTTCAGTGCATGCCCTGCTTCCTGTTTTTTCACCAGGCCATCCTCCTTCAGCCCAGAAACCCCTTCTGTCTCTCCTCCTCCTTTTGACCTTCATAAGTGGCAGTGCAGCTCTGGTCTTCTGAAGAAATTGAACATAATAATTACAGAGTTGTTGGAAGTTTGGGAGGGCTTAATGGTTCTCTTTTCAGAGTTGCATAGTTCTGTTTCTTTGGGGATTAAAGTGGTTTTCAGCTGAGAGTGGCCATCAGAAACACATGGGGGTGGATAGATAGATGCTTTTAAGTTATGGCAAAAAGCTTTACCTTATGCCTTTCCATACTACAAAACCTTAATTAAACAAGGATTTGGCACTAGGATTTCTTTTTTCTTAATACTTTTATTTCTTTATTTTTAATATAGTGCTGAGGATCAAACCCAGAGCCTCACACCTGCTAGGCAAGCACTCTACCACTGAGCCACAACCCAGCCCTATATTTTTCTTAAGCAGAAGATCCATCTTATTTAATAATGAGAGCATATCAGGGATAAGCCACCTCTTGCCCACAGACCAAGCCACCTATCCCTTGCTTTTATAGAGCCCATGAGCCGTGTATGGTATTTACAGATGGACATTTTGCAATTTATTAATGATACTAACTTTGAACCTCAAGTAAGTGAACTGCTACCCTTCCTCTAAATGAACCAAAATTGCATTCTTTTCATTAGTAGACTTGCATTTTAAAAGTTATATCAATTCTTATATTTTGAATTTTGTCAAAAATTTTGTAAAAATTTCCTTCTTGTTATATAAGTATGTACATAATATTGATTTTGCGTCTTGCCTCTCAGAGCCTGAAATATTTATAATCTGGCCTTGTACAGAAAAGGTTGCTGACACTTGCAGCATGTCATTGTCTATTTTATATTGAAGCACTTTTCTGCTTACTCTATTGGTCCACTTTATGATTTCTACAAATCATTTAAGGGTTTTTATTATAGCTATCATATGTTCTCCTTATAATATTGATATTTACAAAAGAATACAGAGTAAGAAGTGGCTGGTTCCATTCCCCAGTGTTAACACTCAACAGTTTGTAATGTACCTTTGCTACTAATTAGCTGTGGGACCTTAACTAACCTTTGTATGCCTCAGATTCTCCAACTGTAAAACAGTTGATAATAACCCCTTCTACAAAGAAGAATTGTGTAGGTTATAGGCAATAATTTGTGTGAATTACTTAGCATATGGCTGGTGCATTGTTAATGCTTAATGATTTGTAACTAATCTTAGAATTATTTATATGTACAAATAAGTTTACTTGATTTTTTTAAAAAGATGGATTATGAGGGTTTTTTGTTTTGTTTTGTTTTTTACAATAAAGTTCTACAGGTGACTCCAGTTCATGCACATTTAAGCTAAAGTGCATACTGGGAAGTAGATGGTTATTGAAAGGATTTGTATTTGGGCCAGAAATTGCCTTCTATCTTACGGTATATAGTAGGAGAAGCGGGGAGGTAATGGATTTCTAAGTGAACGTTTAGGGGTATAAAATGCACACAAGTGAGTTTTTTCCCCCTCTTTTCCAGGTCTACAACTCCAACAAAGACAGTCAGAGCGAAGGGAGTAAGTATGATGCTTGGGTTATTTTCTGCCCCCTGGGCTGGGAGTGGGCTTTGAGAAGTTGCTGCTGTGTGAGGAATGAACCACCAGGAGGTGCTGTGGGCATGATGGGTCAGCTTCATTTCCTGAGTGTCCTGTGTGATCTTTCCACATCACTGACTTCATAGGGCCCTTTACTGAGCCTGACTGGTAAGACTGTAATGACACCTTGCATTTAAATAACCCTTCACACTTGACATAGTGTTCTCATGAACGTTATGTCACTCAATCCTACGTCTTCTTAACACTGCTCCACTGCTAATATCACATACCCCAAAAACCATATGCTGGGTGGAAGCCGAAGTCACCCTTGACTTCTGCTTAATCTGCCCAAAGGCCTGGAGAGAAAAGAGTAGAGATGGTGAATATAATATGTTCCTCTTTGATGGAGTGCCCTTGGGCATATTTATAGAATGCACCGTACATTTTCCCTGTTGGAGGCTCTGAGCAATCTGGCTAATCATGATTTCCAAGGCCACCTGTAACCTTGTAAAGGCGCTTGGATTAGAATGAAACTCCTACTGGTAAAGTGTTTGGACTGATTATCTCCTTGGTGCACAGGAGAAAAAACAAATTCCTTCCAGGTTGCTGCAAGAGTTCAAAGGAAATCCTGTCCCCTGGCTTCAGATTTGCTTTGTAAAATCTGCTTGGGGGGAAAAAAATTCAAAGGTGGCCCTACCATGGATTTCAATAGTGTCAGGAAAATTAATAGAACAGCGCCTCTCCAGGTGGAGAAAAGATGGTCTTCCTTTTTTTTTTTTCTTTCTTTAGAGGGGAGTGGGTGGTAAAAGTCATTATGGGATAAAAAGAAGGTTTTCTTCCTTCCATTCTCTCTGAAATAAAACCAGGAGTTTTATACAGTATAAAATACTAAGTAATGGGGAATGGCTGATATTGATATATTAGAGGTCTTTATGACAGGAAAAAAATGTGTGTTTTTTTTTTCCCCTTTGTGTCAAAAATTGAACAAAGGCAAAATTTTAAGTAAACAATCAAGGAAACAAAGAATCCCCGTTTCTGGATTGGGTAGGTTTGTTTTGGAGCATCTGAGGTCAACTCTGGCTAACTTAGGCAAAAATAGCTGTTCAACAGGAAAGAAATACAGAAGGCTGCAGCATCACTCACTGTGAGGTAAAGAGCTGAAGACATAGCCTTGAAAAAAGACCAGCTCTAGGGACCTGGGAGCCGGAAACCAATGGGAAAGGGTCTTCTGCATCATATTTGCAGAATGATAAAGCTCTGAACTGTAGTTGCCTCATTCTTGTGAAAATTTAGAATCCCAGGAAAGAGGCAAGTTGGTCATGCTTGGGCCCATCCAGAGAAAAGGGCACACCCTGATGGATAGTTTCGAGTGTACATGAAGTGGGAGTGGGGTAGTATCCCAAAGGGAAATTAAGGAAGCCACCAGGATGGAATGGTGCCGGGTGGAGCTCACAGATGCCTGCCGGGTGAGGTGCATGTGAATGGAGACCTCTGGCCAGATGTTCACTTACTTGTGTAACTTTTAACTTTGTGAACTTGCTTCTCTCTGCTTAAGTGCCAAAGATTGCCAAGAGTCTCTTGAAGGGTATGCCAGACCTATACACATTCTGTCATTTCTATAATACATTTTGGTAATATGTTTGGGAAAGCTTTTAAAAGTGATTATTCTTTGACTCAACAATTTGTTCTAAAAAAGCAAGAGATGTTTATGCAGCAGAGAAGTTCACTGGAGCATTGGTAATAATAGGGAAGAATTAGAATCTAAATGTCCTACAGGGAGTTAGTTAAATAAATCATAGAGTAGTATGCAGCCTTTAAAAAGAACAAAGGAGGTCTTGATGTATTGGCAGAAATGGTGCCCACAGTATATTGTTAATTGAGCTTTAAAAAACTAGGCAATGGAATAATGCACATAGTAAAAGAAATTATTTGACATAGGTAGTCGATAGAAATAAGTTTGGAAGTACATGTATTTTCAAACTTAATCAGGGTAGAGGTTGGACTATCGGGAGACATCCACTTTCTATGTTAACTATTTCTCTACAGTATGTATTATTTTCAGTTAACCTGTACTTTTTAGTAATAGCTATTAAAACAGCATTAAGTGAGCATTTACTGTGTGTCAAGCCCTGGAGATGTGTTACATACATTAACTCCCTGTAATACCCTGAGAGATAGATACCTTCTTTGAGGATGAGGAAATTGAGACTGGAAAGCTCAGGGAACACAATTTTATCAAAATTTTGCCTGACTCCAAAGGTTCTATTATTAGAAACAAGGATATTCTTTCTAAAAAATAATACCAAAAGTTCCATTTTAGAAAACATAGACACTTTGCTTCCGTTGCCCTGTTATTCACAGACTGATGACAGGGTGTCCATTGACCCCCATGGGTGTTTAATTGCTTGCTTACCCTTTCATCTTGCAAGCAGAAGAGATAAGGACAGGGTAAAAAATTCTGGCTGCTTTTTCAGGAGTAGTTTAGGTGTAGGACTTATGTTTCTAGGGTTTTATTATTTACCAATTTCCAGGATGACAAAACCAGAGTAGGATCTTGTGGGTTGGCGCTGCCTCACCTTTTTCAGCATTAGGGCCCATCTTCCCCATCATGCAACGACTTTCCCTCCCTCTCCCCTGACCTTGTACTTGCACTCTGTCTTCATTGTGGTAATTTGCATTTTCACCCCATGCTCACCCACAGCTCATTTGTCACAATTTTGATAAAACTGTGTTCCCTGATAGTGTTTAGTGTTTTAATAGCACTATTGCCCAGGGTTGTTCTGCAACCCTCTTTCTGTTTGTGCCACAATCTAAACTTTTTTAAAAGTAAGAAGTCAATTCGCTATGAATTAAAGAGTAGGGCATTGCTATTCTCACCACATTCCTAATGTCTGGCATCTAAATCCCAGATGTCTAGCATTTTGTTTTCTAGAAAATGTTTTGGAGGGAGTTTGAATGAAAACATTTTATCACAGAGCCAGAATGTTTTGAAGGAGCAAATAGCAAAGGAAAACTCCCTTGGGGACACTTCGGAATCTGTTGCTTTCATCTTGAAGTTTCTCCCAGGGCATACTTTGCCTGTGGGTATAAGACAGGGCCTTAAGTAATGTTTGTCAGCTGCTGGTATTTTTGAAGTGGTCCAGTTGCCAGGAGGAGGGTGTTTGCAGATAAACACATGCTCATTTCTCTACAGAGCCTTTTTCTTGTGCTCTTTCCCTCTCTGTTCTGTTGGGTCTCGGGTGTAGAGGGTTAACCATACTCATATATTCATGGTACATCATTGACACGGAGCCCTGGATTCACTCATTCTTTGTTTCATGTCACTTTATTTTACTTATTTATTTGTTCCTTTTTAATTGTTTTCCTTATTCATATTCCTTTTCTCTTCTATAAGCCACAATCTTCAGATGCATTCTTGGAAAATGTGTGCCTTTCTCTGTGTTAAGTTTTGTAAATGGTGGTGTCTCAGTCTGATCTTTGTCCATCAGCATTGTGTTGGGAAGGTATTCACTGAGCTCCTTTAGACTGTGGCTTCTGGTGACTGCCTACTCCAGGGTGTATCTCTTTTTGCAGAGATGTGCTCCATCTCCTTACACCTTGAATTCCTCATCACCACAAGGAACACCTCTGTACGTGTCCTGTATAAGGTTTCTTTGGGTTGTCCTCACCAGGGGAATTGTTGGTCAAGTTGTGGGTCTGTGCAGAGACTTAGTCTCAGTGCTCTCCTTGCTCCTAGAGCTGCTGCCCACAGTCCCATCCACCCTGTATTCTAGTGTCTCCATTCCTGCCAGCTCTCACTGTTAATCAGCCTTCTAATTTTTTTGCTAGTCTGCAAGATATACAATCATAGTTCATTGTTGTTTCAGTTTGCATTTCTCTGATAATTGATGATAATTGATTCATATTCCCATTAGTTCTCTGGGTTTTCTCTTCTATTAATTGCCTAAACATGTCCCCTGCTCATTTTCTGATATAAGTTTCTCTTATGGTTTAGATATGAGGTGTCCCCCAAAAGCTCATGTGTGTGACAACACAAGGATTTTCAGAGGTGAAATGATTAGATTATGAGAGTTAGAACCTAACCCACTGGATTAATCCACTGGTATGAAGTGACTAGGTGGTTACCGTAGTAAGATAGGGTCTGAAGGAAGTAGGTTCCTGGAGGTGTGCCTTTGGTGTTCATATTTTGTTCTAGGTGAGCAGAGCTCTCTCACTTTCCTAGTTGCCATGTCCTGAGCTGCTTTCCTCCACTCTGCCCATCTGTCATGCTTCACCTAGGGCCCAGAGCTATGGAGTCAGCCATCTATGAATTGAGACCTCTGAAACTGTGAACCAAAATAAACTCTTCCTTCTCTATATTGTTTTTGCCCGGTATTTTGGTCACAGCAACTACAATAAAAAACTAACAACAGCAACAAAAGCAGTTGCTGTTTTTCTCTTGTTGATTTATAAAGTCTCTTATATTTATTTTTTAATTTTTAAAATAATAATATTGTTATTATTATTATTATTCCTTTGATAGTTGTAGATGGACAGAATGCCTTTATTTGTATATTTTTATGTGGTGCTAAGGATCAAACTCAGTGCCTCATACATGCTAGGCAAGTGTTCTAACACTGAGCTACAACCTCAGCCCCAAAGTCCCTTATATGTAGATATTAATTCCTTGTTAATTTTTGTTCCCATTTTATCAACTGTCTAATATTATTACATGTGCTGTCCTTCCTTGACTATAAGGCTATGTGTTTTATATTTACAAACTATGTTTGAAAAAATGTGCCTTCTGGTTTATGATTTTTAAATTGTATTTTGAAGAAGACCTTTTTGACTCATGTTACAAAAATATGCACACACATTTTTTAAAGGTGTCTTCACGTCTAGGCTTCAAATCCAGCTGATATGTGGATCCACCATCATCTGTGATGTTTCATGAAGATTTAGTCTTATTATTATCCATTTGAGGAGTCCGTTTTCCCATCACC